TAGTAGTAGTAGTAGTAGTAGTACATTTCAAGCTTGTATTTTCTATCACGACTATCTTGTTTAAAAAAAATCATAAACTGCAATTTCTGCGAGATGGCAAACGTAAACGTAACAAGAGTGACGTCTAAACAAATGGAATATTTATGATAAACGTAAATCAAGAAAACGCGCAGAATACGCTAGTGTATAATAACGACAGCGTTGATAGTGTTACGGTAAATAACGAAAGCGTTGATAGTGTTACGGCGCAGTTCAGTTGTTCGCTGCGAGGCCAAGGAGAGGGTTGTCCTGCGTGGCGTTTGGGCAATTTCCGCTATACATATACGATGATTTTCTTTTCGTATGGGTTACCTTTTGCAAATTGAGTTTTATTATCTCCGTAAAGGTTATGTTTTCTGGTCGCGGTTGTTAATTGTTCGAATTTTGCTGGTTAGCAGAATAACTCAAAAAGTTATGAATCGAGTTTTATTTTTTTTACCAGATTTATCTTAGATTCCAATTAAATTTTGGTGATCAGGATCCAGGATTTTTTTTTTTTTTTTTTGAATGATTACAGGAGATTATGTTTACGGATGTCACCTGTATACCTGAGAGAGATTATTTTAATGTAATTCTTCTTGTGAATATTCATATTGCATCAATGACCCTATTGCTTTGGCGGAGGTATGCGCCCTCTGAATGCACCTAGAGAAGGCCCTATCACACGCATTTTTCCGTTAATTTCTGCGTTTCCGTCTGAATTTGAGTCTTTCCGCAAGTATCGTTTGCAGAGGGAACACCCAGACGAAGACGATTGTAACCGTTTCCGTCTAATTTCCGTCTTGATCTTGTGCTACGAAGGATCTACACAGCTAGAATGTTTTTTTATAGATACATTAGATAGAATGAGTTAATTTCAACATAAGCTAATATTTTACAACATTCCTATATACAATAAACAATCATATTTAAAATAACGTGATATTTATGAGAATGTTCGTGTGATTCCCGGGACCTCACTCCGATGGCGCCAGGTTTGTTTACATGGCAATGTTTGCTGCCTGGATGTGTGAAAGGGTCAGTCCATTTCCATACGAAAAGTTCATATGGAAACGCAAAAATTGACGGAAAAGTGGTAGTGTGATAGGACCTTTAACAATGTATATTTTAAATTGCCAACATTTTTTAATAATTTAACCATGAGGATAATCAAAATTACGATGTAAGAAGGAATGATGAAGATGATGATGATGATCATCATCATCATCATAATAATAATAATAATAACAATAACAATGATAATAATGAATAGTAATTAAGGTAATACTTGTAAATAAATTTAATGATAAAACAATAAAAATGTACTACTACAAATAATAGTTATGAAAATGATAATAACACATAAGGATAATAGTGAAGACAATGGTAACAATAATAACGACAGTAATCAGTAATAATAACAATAACTACAAAACTAGTACTAAAACAACAATGAAAATAATGATGATGGTCATGATAATATTAATAATGATAGTAGTAGTAGTAGTATTAAATATTAACAATAGTTATAATAATAAAGCATAAAAAACTATTGATATTATAATTCCAGTAATAATGACAATATTGATAATGATATGATAATAATGATAACAAAGATGATAGTTATAACGATACTGATAGTAATAATGATAATGAAAATGGTAATCATAAAAATGATAAATAAAACTGATAATGACAATAACAAGAACAAACTAATACCAACGAAAACTGACAACAATAATAAGAATAACCATAAAAAATAACAATACCATCACCATAACAAACCCCGATAAGAATAACCATAGAAATAACAATAACAACCCAATAACGACCCCGATAAGAATAACCATAAAAATAACAATAACAACCCCAATAACGACCCCCGATAAGAATAACCAAAATGACAATACATCACCAATAAAACTACCCCCCCCACCCCTATACCACCCAAAGCCCCCCCCCAAAAAAAAGCCAAAAGACTCACATCACCAATAACAACCCCCCCTCCCCCATAACACCACAAAGCCCCCCCCCCCCAAAAAAAGCCAAAAGACAACATCACCAATAAAACACCCCCCCTAACACCACCCCAAAGCCCCCCCCCAAAAAAAAATGCCCAAAAGACAACATCACCAATAACAACACCCCCCCCCCCAGAACACCACCCAAAGCCCCCCCCCAAAAAAAAGCCAAAAGACCAACATCACCAATAACAACACCCCCCTCCCCCTAACACCACCCAAAGCCCCCCCCCCAAAAAAAAAATGCCAAAAGACTCACATCAATAACAACAAACCCCCCCCTAACACACCCAAAGCCCCCCCCAAAAAAAAAAGCCAAAAGACAACATCACCAATAACAACACCCCCCCCCCTAACACCACCCAAAGCCCCCCACCCAAAAAAAAAAAAATGCCAAAAGACTCACATACCAATAACAAAAACCCCCTCCCCCTACACCACCCCAAAGCCCCCCCCAAAAAAAAAAATGCAAAAGACTCACAACCAATAGAAACACCCGCCTCACCCCCAAAGCCCCACCCCCCCCCAAAAAGCAAAAGACTCACATCACCAATAACAACCCCCCCCCTAACACCACCCAAAGCCCCCCCCCAAAAAAAAGCCAAAAGACAACATCACCAATAAACAACACCCCCCCAAGAACACCACCCAAAGCCCCCCCCCAAAAAAAATGCCAAAAGACTTACATCACCAATAACAAACCCCCCCTCCCAAGAACACCACCCAAAGCCCCCCCCCCAAAAAAAAAAAGCCAAAAGACTCACATCACCAAAAAAACCCCCCCCCCCAAGAAACACCACCCAAAGCCCCCCCCAAAAAAAAAAAAAAAAAAAAAAAAGCCGAAAAGACTCACATCTGGACTGTATCGTGTTGTCCGTGGGCGTCGAGGCTTCTTCCTCTTCGTCTTCTGGCTTCTCCGTCAGGTCTTGGAAGTTGACGATGAACATGCACGTGTCGCCGTCTTCGTTCTTGATCGGGCACATCGTCGTCTGGCACAGGAATTTGGTCCCTGGGGAGAGGAGAAGTAAGGGGGTGAGTTGCGTGGCTGGAGATGGTGGGGGGGGGGGTTATGGTGGGTGGTCGGGTAGATGGCTACTCGTAGATTGGTAGGTAGGTAAGGTAACGTACATAGAAATACACACATTGATATATATATATATATATATATATATATATATATATATATATATATATATATATATATATGTGTGTGTGTGTGTGTGTGTGTGTGTGTGTGTGTGTGTGTGTGTGTGTGGTGTGTGTGTGTGTGTGCTTGTGTGTGTGTGTGTGCTTGTGTGTGTGTGTTGTGTGTGTATGTGTTGCGTGCGTGTTTGTGCGTGTTCGTGATTCGCTTCATTTATCCCACCGCACCACGCACATCAAATTTCCTTTGCGTGATTGGCGTGAACGAAGCCTCCGGGAAGGCTTCCTCTCGCTCCCCGTGAGGGAAAGGAAGCCTCTGAGGTCGCTTGCGGTCGAGAGCAAGGTTGGGGAAATAAGTAAATAAGGTGATAATGAAATAAGTAATGATAAGTTACTGATGAAATGAGTAATA